GAAACAATTGACTTTGGCAAGTTATTTAAATAAAGTTTATTTAAAACTTATTATGGTGAACATAGAGAATATCTTTAGTGCTTTAAATAATAAAGGGAGATTCCATCATGGTGAGGGAGGAGGTTGTAGAGGGGTGTGCGGGGACAGGGGAGGGGTGAGACAGGCGTTCGTAGCGGGCCAATAAAGGCACGCAGTAAATCCACGTAATTTAGAGCGGTCGTAAATTAAAGTTCCGCTATAAACGGGCCGGTACCTGCCTCGCCCGCGCCCGCCGCGCCCGCGCCGCACCGCGACACGGCATCGCATAAATCAAACCCGCCTCGTGTGAACACCGCACTGGATACGAGCTTTTGACCATACCACCATACTCCGTGCGTTTATGTGGCCTTTTTATTCTATTTTTATTTATTTATGTACTTACCTAGAACAACATGATTATGAAATCAATTGATATTCTAGACCTAATCCCTCTTAACTAATGAAAAACACACTGGCTTAAATTGGCACTTCCGCAACAGTAAAAGCTAGGTGTCGCTTTTTTCTGGGTAGGTCGTTTTCCACGAGCTACTGCGACATTAATCGGGCCCTATTATCATTAAAATCAAAAATGCAGTCCGATATTTTGTAATTCAGTGGTGATCTTTTTAAGAACCTACACAGGCATATTGTTAAGTATTATACATTTTTCTAAGGAGTTTAAAATGTTTTTTTATATGTGTTTTGGCAGTGGAAATATACTTTTATATTAATGACAAAAGTATATAACCAAAAGGAAATATCCCTTAAAATACAGCGCTTCTATGTTGTCACGCGATTTAGGGGCGGACATGTATTATAATAAAAGTACGCGTGAAATATTAATAACAGACAGTATTTTACAAAAAAATAATATAACATTAAAATTAACAAATTTGTTAACAGAACATTAATCCAGTCGAAAGAAAATCGAATTCTAGCTGTCGTCTGACTCTGTTCACGCGGGATTAAAAAAAATAATAAGTAGCCTATGTGTTTTTCCGGACATCCATCCATCCATCCATCTAAACATTCGCATTTGTAATATTATATACATACATTTATAATATTATATATAAGTAAGATAGTATCTAAGTGTATTGCATCTACAAACACTTTCTTCTTTAAATTCCTCACATGTTTTTCAGGCTGAAAATACAAGACAGCTTATCGGTGAGCTAACCCTGAGCCGGAGCCTTCAATATCAATACTTCACCAATACTAAAACATTCATCTTGTTTATTTTAAATAGTATAAAAGAGAACTTTATATGTTTTGTACATAAAGGTCACTTACACAGAATGGTATCTATATTTTCTTCTAGGCACTGATCTATTCTTAATGCCATAGATTTGATCACACTTTTGTTCGCATTTAGAGAAATAAATGTAGTGCATTTGTGGATATTTTTCTCTGTGCTAAATATTTCGATTATTTTCTTAGTACATTTTATTAAAAACCTTTTATATATGCGCAATCCCAAAAAATCAAAATCATGTCACCGCTTTAACCCTTCTTCGATTTAACGACGGAATGACACCCCATGACGCCGACGCGCTCGTCAATTTTACGATTTGGCCAACATAAAGAAACACATTATCTATTTTATTTGACCTAAAAGTTCCCAACAAAGAGATAAAAGGTCTCCAGTTTACCCTGTAGTGTAAATAAATTATTCGACGTATTGTGGACCGGATTGTCTAAAGTAAACTTGAGATACAGTGTCGTGTCCCGACTTTTGCTATAAATCACGAAACATCACGTGTTACCTAAAGGGTTTTATAGCCACACGTCTATGAAGAGATAACTGATACTCCATCGTCAATATACTAATGCCAACGTTAACACAGCCAACAAATATCCTAAACGTGTTTTGAATAGGATTTTATTGTTAATTTTGAAATTTGATCCTATTACTTCAACATAGTACAAAACTGTATGTATAATAGTATATTATGTAAGTATATAAAGTAGATTTTAAACTGAAACTCTTGATAGTTTTGTTGAATATTGGAATAATATGTAAGGAGGGTAGTTGTAATCATGATTTAAAATAAAGGTCAGTTTACATCTTTCGATCGTGGATTTGTTTGTAACGATCATTTAAAGAAAGCTTTAAAAGACCACAGATAAAAATAATCTTTTGCTTACTAATTTGCGCTGTAAATTGGATATTGCTTGTTCTCAAATATTTATATATGTGGTCATTTTATTTGAGTGTAACAAAATGACTATTGAGTTACATTTACAAAGTCAAATATGTATTAAAAGTACCTTAAAATAATAATATGAAAATACCTCTGTCTAAATAAACCTAATTACATAGGTAAAATACATGCAATTTTCAAAACCTTTAAAAGTGCTAGTAACCAATAGAATATCGAATGCTTATTTTTAAATAAAAAAAGTATAGATAATGCATTGGCACGTATCGAAAGGCAGGTAGCGTGAGGCTCCGGTCGACGCGACGGTCGGTCGCACGTACAGATTACTTATAGCTTTTGTTATCTGTGCGCAAGCCCCGCCCCTGGCGGCCGCCGCGCGCATCATGGCTGCCGACCGAATGACGTTTATGGATCTAATGAAAACCCACTTTTAATTAATTCACGGCGATCACACGCGTCCGTGGCGCAGCTTTTATGTTTATTGTTTTAATATCATTTAAAAGCACGTTACTGATTTCTCATGAGTGTCACCACTCGTAATATTTTGTTTTGTAAATAACTCCGGCATATAAATGACGTGAGCTAATTTTTGTGATTAAGATAATGTTTATACATAACTTCTCACTTAATGGAATTGCTTTTACTATTTTGTATGTAAAGTTTATTACTCAAGAGATTTGATATTGAAAATCAAGAGATAAATAAGTTATTTATAGTAATTTCTATTTGCTGATGCAAAATGTTTTGTAAATAAATTTAATATGATATAATAAAAATTATTTATTTCTTTATGTTTATGATATTTGATGTTCGTGAAACTTGCTAGGTAAATATATAATGTTATCTTATCTTTGAGATAACAAATTATTCCTTATGACATTCTTTGATATTTTATATTCGTACCTTTAGGTATCTACCTCCTCAGAATCTATTACATTAAGCAAACACTTCTTAATCCTTTTTATGGAAATTACGCCAATGCATAAAAATTCGATTTGACATAGACAAAGTTAATGTAGATATGTGTATAAAAGTATTTAAAAAAACTCTGAATTTCGACCAATGCCCGATTACTAGTTAATTAAAATATTTTACCCAGGGTCAGCTCAAAAGTCTATCATTACGAGTTTACCAAAATATACATATCACAATTTATATTTAAGATAGTTAATTATTTAAAAGTTCGGTATTAATCGTCCCTTATCATTAACTTCAGCTACTAAGGTCGTATGTTCAATTATAAATTACATTTTATGGTTTTATAGTTGTTATAAATATTATATAATTATAACTAACGATTCATTGAGTTAATAATGTTAGAAATTATTAATATTTTATAAAAACTAACTAGGGTTAGCTAGCTCCTTTTTCTTGTTTTTAGACGGATGCTTCCGTTATTTTTGTATGTGTGTTTTTGCATGTGGGTCAGTATGTATATTCATTAAATTGTGACAACTTAGTAATAACTAAACTGTTGAAACAATTTTGAAGTATTTTTACATCCGACTTGTATTGTTGCCAGGAAAATCATATTGTGCAGCAAATTGAGTTTGTTGATTATTTTAAACTGACAACCAGTTATTTTAAATCTTGCTCATATTAATATTAAAATGAGAAAGTTTATATGGATGGTAATATGTTACAAGGTATCTCCAGAACTGTTTTAATTCCGCTCAAATGGAATCGCAAGCGATAGCTACTAAGGTAACAAATTTTACAGAATTTTTAAAGAAATTTCCTATATTAATTTAACTTTATCTGTTTAGTTTGGCAATGTAAAACGAGCTTACAGATCAAATTTCAATGTGTATTAAATGGCTTTGCATTAATATTACGAGCGTGGAGACAACGGGCCCCTGCGGGCGACACGCTCCCTCAGGCCTCGTTATATGCTGCCAACGCCTCTGTGATTTATTCCATTCTCCCTCTTTGCAGCTCAACAAACTGCTGCCATATAAATGTCCTTTTTGGTTCTTCTTAGCGAATGATTGAGTAACTTTAAAATGGCGAAGTATCTAGTTATTTTTGAAAGGATTAATAATTGTGTTGAAGTTTGAGTGTGTGCCAAGACCTCTCTGGCTTCGGTTAAAGGTTTGCAGACTGTTAGGTGTGTCAAGACCGCACCAAATGTATATATGATGTTCAATATGATGGTATCTGAGAGTGATGATGTATCCATTTATAATTAAATTGTAGATGGAATCAAAACATTCATGTGTGCTTTCTCTGTGTGTGTCTCAGGTAATACATTTTTTCTCTACAATATTGACCAAATAACGAACATTGGTGCGCGTAAATCTGGCCTGCTTTGAATGCATAGTTTTAACTAAAAAGTTGGTCTAGTTTAAGTTTTAGAAGGAAATCAAATCAGTTCAGTTCTTTTATGCGTCGGTTTCGGTGACTTTGTTTTATAAATTTATTGGAGGTTAATTATAAATATTATTACGTTACTTTATTACGATCAATTATGATACATGTTAAAAACTAGCTGACGCCAGCGACTCCGTCCGCGCGAAATTAAAAATCTTAATGAGTAACCTATGTGTTCCCCCGGACTATGTTCTACATCTGTGCAAAATTTCATCAAGATCCGTCAAACAATCATCTACCCGTCCCTCCACAAAAGATTCGCATTTTTAATTTTAGTAAGAAGTAAGATTAGTATGTTTAAATAATAACAGTTTTTAAAAAATTATGAAACAAAGAAAATAATTGTATCATGGTATCAATTTAATAACAGTAACAATTGTTTCCACTTGCACCAACATAGCGAATGACCTATGACAACTGATGATAACGCGGCACGACAGATAATTCTGACTCTCAGTCAGTGAATCAATATTCAGTTAGCAAGCACTAATCGATACAATGACAACTCTAACCATTTCCGAAGTCAATTTATTAGACGATAATCAGTTCGAGACGGTTTTTGGAAATGTAATAGAACATTGCAAAAGTGCACCGGTGATGATAAAAAAGTTACGACCGTTTAAAAATGTCAATGAACTTTGTGATGCGTTTCAAAAGTACTTAGACGATATCAATAAAGAAGGTTATTGTTTTTTAACTGCTTTTTAGTGGTTTGTTTTGTCGTTTAACGAGTGAATAAGGCGTTTGAAGTAATAAAATTGCGTTGAATGATTAGTGAACTAGTGTTACTATATATTGTTTATTTGTTTTGTGTGCTATTAAAATTATAACATTATAAAAAGCAATTACAAGCTTTTTTATACAAAGCAATTACAAGCAAACAGATTTTTATACAATATAATTCAATTAAAGTTACGGTGATATATTTTGGTGAGATAATAATTTCGTGTTAATTTACAAATTAGTTAGTTTAATTATTTTAAATAATATTTCAGAGAAATTGGCAGTATTGAAATCACATCCCGATCTCGCAGGCAGATTGGCACAGCAAGGAGATCTAACTCCAGAATCAAAGGAAGAGCAACGAAGCGCTGGATTAAATGATCTAACCGAGGAACAAAAGCAAATAATGGACGATAGAAACAAGCGGTAGTACTAATAAACTTTCAAGATTTGATAATGTTTTGACCGACTGTTGAAACGTTGAGCAACATTTTCTAATACAACGCATAACGACATCTAGTGGAAATATCTAACAACTTCTTTTATGTTGTATTTCGAAATGCCTCTACGATTACAATAGTTTTTATCATCACAACTAGATGGTAGTTATTCTATAATCGCAACTAGATGACATTCGTTTTTTTCTTCAACAGGTACAAATTAAAATTCGGATTTCCGTTCATAATTTGTGCAAGAGAAAACAAAGTGCAGTCAATATTGTATGGTTTGCAAAACCGTTACAACAATAATTATGACCAGGAAGTGGTAACCGGCATTAATGAAGTAAAGAAAATATGCAAATTGAGAATTCTCAATATTGTGACTGAATAATTTACAAAAATAGACAATATATTTGATATATTGACATTACGAAATTCTCAATTTTTACTTATAATTAAGGTTATATTTAAATTTAAACATAACCTTTGAACATTTGAAGAAATCTTGTCACAGTTCAGATCACTTAATATGTTTAGAAAAAACTTCTAAAACTACCAAAATTTTATTTTGCTATGTACATCCACTAAAAAATAAAACACCAAGAACTTTTTTTAATCAATTTAATATTAAATGTATACATTTAAAAAGGTTATAATTAGCCGCAGGGACATACATTAGCTTTTACAGTAAACCAAGCGTTCTTTCTACAACAGCATGTGGCTGACCCGCTGTTTCACACATGTCTGGGATGTTGAGGATGTCTTCAAAGCCAATGTCCAAGTCACGACCAGTAAGCACTTCATGCTGCAAGTTGGAACTAGGTAGGAATGGCAGGCGACCAATCTGAAACATGCAATATATAATTTCAGTACAAACAAGCTATTACATAATTTTTTTGTACTGACAGACAAAAGACCGATTGAGAAATAAGAACTAACCTATTTAAACAATAAAACCTTTGCCCGTTTAAAAAAAGATACCTGTACATTATGTTGATTAAGCACTGAAACTTTCCAAAATAAATCTGTAGACACTAAAATTATGTCAGAAAGTGAAATATGTAAATATAATTTCTAACTTCTATTGAATTTCACTATATATGAAACAAACTGTTAAACTTTATCATAACAAATGTTGGAGACCCCAGTGGTTGTTGCCTCTATTAATGTGGTTAAAAAAATTGGTACTCTTACTAATGGTCAAATATGGATTGTTAAGATTGCCAAAAAAAGAGTAGGTTTTAGATATCTAAAGTTCAGTTTTAAATCACCCAAAGTAATTTAGTTATAGGAAAAAAGGGTCACTCTGAGTCTATACCTTTTTTGCAAACTTCCTTTCCATTGTCAGTTTTAGTGGAGCATGGAGTCCTTGTATGTTGCGCAACATTGCCATATTCATTTTTTCTTCATTAAGGTAGTACTGTAATTAAACAATTTAAACTATGAAGTTTTCATTCAAAGAAGTAATTAAACAATAGAATTAGACACACAATTCATCTGATTAATTTGTTAAATACAATGTTTACAATTAGTAGGAATTTACCGAACAGCTTCTGGTGTCTTCCTTTTTACTTGCATGTATATCCACCTTGAAACGATAGAACAAACAACAGTTTGTCTTCTAACAGATACTTTTGTATGAAAGACTTTTGAACAACAGCCCGTCCAACAGAAAGAGTTACATCTACGAAGAGATCTCATAAAAGATGGAACTTTTTTCTGATGGGTCGAATAGTTGATTTGTTATTTGTTTCTTAGAGAAAGTGATGTGACCAATCACATACATCCAAATGTATGAGTGCTGTGATCCTTAGACGTGAAGAATTTTATTATATGAAAATAACTTACGTTGCGTTCTGAGGCCTCCAACGGATGTGACACGCGTAATTTGGGTTTTGCTGCAGATAACCCTTCGACAAAGGGGTTGGGAATCCCGTATGGACCATCTCGTATTTTGCACTCACTTGCCTGTTCTGGCTTGACCTTCAAAGACGGCAATCCGAAACTCTGAAAATAAAATAACAAATTATACAATTATAACATATTGTTCAGTATATAGATACTTCAATAATAAAAGGGTGCTTCCGAAATAGGTACGAGGTACGTGCTGGATTTCATAACACATTAATAGGAAAGTACAATATTTTACCATTGTAGATAGTAAAATTGAGTTAGTTAAATGATTGTAGATTTCTAATTAACTTTGTAATTTTTGGGAAGTAATTAAAATCTGCTTGTATTTTATACAGTACACACTTCATCAACAATAGCGGTTTTTGAAAATAATTTGTCAAATCACGTCCATAGATTGTCCATAGATCGAGAGATTCACATTAGATCCACAGATAACCAATTTGTCATTTTTGACATAAATCCAGTACAGATAAAATAAACATTTTATCGAGAGTCGTTAAAAAAACTTAATTCATTACCTCTCAGGCAATGTTTCACTTTGTGCCAAATTTCAGAGAGAACCATCCATCCATCCATCTATTCTACCGTTTGTATTTATGATAGCAAGATTTATTCACTAAAAATAGTTGAATTTTAGAAACTTACTCACCTCTATAAAGATTCTTATAGAGGTCATTGGTACAAACTTCATCTTCATTTTTGTAACAGACGTCTGACTTATGTCTAAATTTTGATACTCAAGTTTTAACGCGATGCAGTTTTTGATAATTATTATTTTCGATATTTGAGTCCTTTTAAAAAAAAATTTGATAAACTGTATAATTTTAAGATTCTTGTACTGAGTTTATTTTTTAGAAATAATATACATACATACAAGCCTCGATAATGTCAAGTCGAGCTGCTAAAAAGGAAGTGGTAAGAAACGTCATGGGATATGGGAATGATTATTTTGGAAAAAAATTGGCAATAACACTTAGAATGCGTGAAAAGGCTCTTGATTCTAATTTTCTGTTTTACTAATTCTAATTTACAAACACAAACTGTAAACTATACGTACAGGATCCCGAAGAACAATTTAGGCGTAAATTTCGGTCGAAATGCTTATTCCGTGCGCTCGGCCGCTTGGTGATGGCCAATGCGTACTGGTTGATAGAAGCAGTAGACCATTACGAGGGACTGGAAGACGTGAAGCGTAGAGTAGAACAAGCTGTTCGCGCTAAATCGAAAAAGAAGCAGTTGTTAAGTATAAATGTAAGAGTCAATCATAACATTGATTGAGGAATACAGTTTTCCTTCTTACCGAATTGAATTTTACTGGACAAGAACAATATGGGAACAATGGGTTCGATACCACTTGCACTTGAGTTGAAATCCACTATATGCGGTTCTTTGAGCATCTAGCCTTTGCCTTTGACTCGGAAGAAAAAACACAGTCATCTTAATGCACAACAAATTCAGTTATATGGTTTGATTCGTAGGACAAAGGTCTGTTAAATAAACCGGCTGACGAGCGGACAGACGACGAAAAGAAATATTTATTTCGTATCATCGGCGGCCTGAAATGTTTTAAACGATATCCTAATGTAAGTTACTAATTGTCCAAGTTTTATTGTAATTAAAAACCTTGCCACGATAGACCCTTTATTCAACTACCCCATCTCTCTTTCAAGTCTTTTATGATTTCTTTAATAGGACATTAGCACATTAATAGTTACTATGAAATGTTCAGCATGTGAAAAAGAAGTTAGCAGCAGCTACGTACTACAAGTATTATGGTCCGGGACGTACTATAGTGCGTCAGCATCACGAGGCGCACGCGATGTACTTCATCGTGAGCGGCGATGTGGTCGTCACTCAAAATATCTTTGACGAGCTGCTTCAGAAGCACATATCAGTGGAGGTCGGCTCTATGCACACCGGCGACATGTTCGGAGAAGTCTCACTCTTGCATAATATCAAAAGAACTGCAACAGTTACTACTGTTGGTAATTACGTTGATAATCTGGTTGTTTTTGCGGTTTCAAAACTAATTCTAACGAGGGTCTTATAGAACAGTTTAGTAACACAAATTAGAACAACAAAGATAATAGGAAACTTCAAGGATTAATTACTAGGAATAGGAATTAAAACAAACTAGTTTGAAGCAGCCAGACTTAAGCTAATCAGATCGAGATGTAATGTTAAAAACTCTTTTTGTTTGCTTTTGTATAAAATTGATTCAAAAGATTAGGAAATCAAAACACAAAATGTATTAGTTTAATGTCTCGCGAAAGTTTGAAAAATTTAAATCAGAACACGATGAGATAACGCCTGACTGCCTGCCACGTAGAATATGTTGATTAACAAAAATATATTTTGCAATATTACTGTCGTTATCGATCAAACTTTGGGCGTAGGTTAGCAACTAAAATATTTGTTTACATTTTTGATTCGACATAGTGTAGTACGTAAGCGAATATACGGCATTGAGATTCAGGAAGCTCTTTGTTCATTGTTCAGAGGTATTTTAATGCTTAGATCATTGCGAGCTTCTGGTGCTAATGAAGGACGACTTCAAAAATGTTCTCCAAGCGTCCGTGCAGAAGCAATGGGACGAGGTGCAGCGAGCGATGTCTGCTTTTACTTACTTCGACGCTTTGGATGAGGTGAATACATTTTGATTGTCTGACAGAATAGGTCCACCCCATTGTTCCATTAAGGTGAAGCTTAATTGAATGATGCCTTACTTTTTAATATTAATCTAAGTACTAAAGTACTAAGGACCTAAGGACTAAATTTTAAAATGAATAGCCATGCGATATTTTCCCAGGTAGCGCGTCGTGAAGGTTGCATTGTAGCGAAAATGAAATCGTACGAAACAAACGAAACAGTGCTGGGCGACGGCGTAGGTGTGCCTAACTTCGTCTACTTTATCCTGTCGGGCCGCTGCCAGATGATCGAGTCCATGCAAGTGACGGTCGTCACACATCTTGGAAAGAACTACTATACGCTCTATGACCCTTATGTATGTAGCATCTCACAAACTATAGCATTTTATAGTAATTTTTCTTTTTCAATTAGAAACAATTTAGTTGCGTGTTGTTTTTTAAGACATTGTCCTAATTAAGAAATTGGAATCTGTTCTATTTGTATGAATAGTAAAAGAACGTACTGCAGTAGAATGTGAAATAGTTACATTGCGTAGTAGATATGAATAATTGTGCAAAAAATGTATTAATTTAAGAACATAATTATGTAAGTACTCATATAATTTTGGTGACCAAGCTGGTTGATTTAAATCACTTAGTGTATTTGAGATTAACGTAAGATTTTTATAATTAAATAAGAGATTTAATAAAGTCTAACAAAGTATGTACCGTAGGTACCACCTGAGGAAAGTGAGCAAGATTTAGATGCAAAATATTTTGGAGCATACAATAAAATGAGTAAGAACAGTACTGATGCAAAAGATGAAACTTCAATTGATAAAGAACAATCAACAGCGAAACATTTGATACACATCGCTGAAACATCAACAAGCATGGGAAGTTCTTATAAGAAGAAGTCCAGTATTTTAAAGCCGGATAGCGGCCAAGCATCCGTCGAATATGAAGAAGGGATACGGCGTAGTACCGAAAGTAGTCGTATTCGACATACTGGCTCTGATTCTACGACTAAGGAGAATGATCTTCTAAAACCATCAGACCGAGGAGTTCGAGAGTCGATCAGGTTATTTTACTTATTCCTGTTGTTGCTTATCTAGTTTTTTTTAAATATGACATGTTTGATTATTTGATATGTACTTTATTAAATGTTGTCGTTATTAATTGCAGGTTAAGCGTTGTTCCTCAAATAATACGTATGCCACCGAAAAGTGTTCGAACTTATTTTATGCAGGTAAATCTTTTTGTTTACTTATTGTGCAATTTGTTGTCAATATTGGTATGATTCTGGCGTTTATTTCAGGTGTGTCAGTTTAACCCAGGATCGAGTTTCGGGTTTGGGGAGAACATGCGAGACCGGCGCATCATTGCGCTGACGCCAGTGGACTGCATGCTGCTGCCCAGCATCTGGTTGCTGCAGAGGAATACGGCCAACATCTGGTCTCGTATACAACATTATCTAGAAAAGAAAGTGAGTGGATGTTATCCTTAACGGAGGAAGCTGTTATAACGAATTTTAATGTTTTTGACTTACTCGAGCTCTGAAAATGAATATCAATCTAATAATAATGGGGCCGTTTACCCCATAAACAAATTTCCTGGCTATAAAACTAATCATTTAAAATGAACATCAAATGATCCTCTAAGCTATTATCGCCATTCTCCATTAGATGCATTACAAGAAGAAAATATTAATTTACTATTTATTGTGGTTCAGATTCCGACAAAAAAGCAGCTTTTCAAGGAGTTTGTGTCCGCGCGCCGCTGGGAAGAGTTCCGCGAACAGACCGTTGCGGATGTGGTCTCCCGAACCAACACGGTTAACTGGACCACAGTGCACGACGTGCCTTACTCTATACGAATCGAGGAGATGAAGGATATATGATTCATTAATTTTTTTGATATCATATTTCAAATAAATAAGTTATTACTTTTTTCTTTATTTTTCTTTACGCGTTGAGGGAAGGATACAGCCGAACTAATTTTCGAAGATTTCCTTGTAGGCATTTACGTCAAAATTATGATTTGCATCACAACGATAACTTTCTACGACAAACACTCCTTTTACGGCTTTTTCTTATCAAGATGTGTTTAATGAATTTCGCTGAAAAATGGCATATCTGAAGAACAGCCTGGAAGAACGCACAGGCTGCTAGTTATTTTCTTCTAATTCCGCGCGAACCGAGTCGAAGTGACAGCTAGTTTAAATATAAATTCTTAACAAAAACATAGTTTTTTAAGTTTAATTTTACTATCTGACATATTATGACAGTGAAAGTGACAAGTGCCTAAGTTTTATTTGTTGTAGATTTTCGTAAATCTACAAAAATAAACAATAGAATTTTAAGATTATACTGTTATAACTAAGCTGATATACCTGTTAAAATCCTTTACAAAAGCCTGACAATGTCGAGTCGAACTAAAATGAGAGGTGGTAAAAAGGAAATGGTAAGATTTTAAAATATTTTTTCGATACCTCATCATTAGCCCCAAATCTTGTCATCCTCCCATACCTACCTGTTTTTAGAAAGCTTGAGAAAGACAAGTAAGATTTGATTGTGGTAAGGGAGATAAAGTTTTTTCTATTTAACGCTTCGTCTGATCTCATTTGAGGGTATGAAACATATTCCCAATTTATAAACACACGGCATCATGGCTATAAGTAGCGGTCGCTTCGATGATTTGCATGTCAGGTGCTGCTTGCTTTTTGCCACCTTCTGCTATAAAAATATATGATACAGCTGCATACTCACGGTAAAAA